ACTAAAAAACAATCATTCTCACGCACGTGAGTTCGGGCTCTAACACATTTTCCTTTTTCACGTGAGAACACACTAAAAAAATCACAATTCTCAAGCACGTGAGATTGGGACGCAAAACCCTATAAGGGTTCTCACGCATTTTCCTTTTTCACGTGAGCGCACTAAAAAACAATCATTCTCACGCACGAGAGATCGCGATCTAACGCATTCTCGATTTTCACGTGAGAACGCACTAAAAAACAATCATTCTCACGGACGTGAGATCGGACTCAAAATGCAATGTTTCTTTTCACGTGAGAACGCACTTAAAAACAGTCTTTCTCACGCACGTGGGATTGGGACGCAAAACCCATATAAGGGATCTCACGCATTTTTCTTTTTCACGTGAGAACGCACTAAAAAACAATCATTCTCACGCACGTGAGATTGGGACGCAATGTTTCTTTTTCACGTGAGAACACACTAAAAAATAGCCATTCTCACGCACGTGAGAACTGACCGGAAACTGTCAAACTCCCGCACGAAAAAGTAATTACGTGACAATGGCTAATTTCCGGCCCAACTCACGTACGTGAGAAAGACGTGAGAATGGTCAAAATTTTGACCTATAAATAACTCCAGCTAACAATACTTTCCCGGATAATTAAATTATATTTTGTGAATATTATGTGGCATAAACAGAAGGTTGAATGATAGGGCGAGGATTATATAACCCCAGTATACTTATATTGAAAATAAGAAAAGGTATGTAACTTTCATATTGAGCACCGATGTATCCCCAAAAATGGTCGGTCTTTGAGTAAAATTGTGCAATACATTCACTAAAACAGCAATCAGTCTGATTATCAGATTACCCACATATGTAAAGGATGGTGAAATAATCAAAAGACAATCCGTTGTCAAACATTACTGTTTACAAATAAACTAAAGTTCAAGTGCATCTGACAAGAAACAATAAATAATCAAATACATTCTTCATCTAAGCCTCTCCAAAGACAAACTTTATGCAAAAACATAGCAGTGCTTGTTTGTTTGTTTGTTTAATGTTTCATATATACATTTGTGTATTCGTTTTGGTGATAAGATATCTCCGATATTTGAAACTATCACAGGTGTAAGACAGGGATGTGTTATGAGTCCAATGCTTTTCAATCTATACGTCAATGACTTAAATAGTCCAATACAAAACAATGACAAAGATCAAGTTCAACTTAATAACATCAAAATTAGCTCACTGTTTTATGCAGATGATCTAGTTTTAATATCAGAAACAAATAAAGGTCTACAGAGATCAATCAATAATTTGGAGAAATATTGCCAAAATTGGAAACTCCAAGTGAATATGTCAAAAAGTAAAATTGTAATATTTAAAAGAGGATACTTGAGAAATACTGAAAAATTTACATATCAAGGTCAAAATATTAGTTGTGTATTTTCATACAACTACCTTGGGGTATCATTACAGTCGAATGGTAAATTCAGCGACACAAGAAATAATTTGGCAGACAAAGCCACAAGAGCTTTATATGCAATGATGACTTCTGTGCCAAAAGAAACTGACTGCAA